GAGAGAGAGAGTAGGAGCAGTGAGGAGGGGCAGACGAAGAGGGAGAAGCAGACTCCCTGCTCAGGACCTGGAGATCATGACCTGAGCCAAAGGCAGACGCTTAACCATCTGAGCCACCCAGGCGCCCCTTATATTTGTATGTTATATATATATATATTTATTTATATTATATACTATATAATATATATATATTTTTTTTAAACAATTTAACTCAAATCTATTTTAAAAGTTAAAGACTTTATGCTCTGAGTTTCCTGGCAACGCATGCTGCCATGGAACTCACTTTTACTTTGCAGGGACTCAACTCCTAATTCAAATGTGAACTAACACACATGAATTTTTCCCCACCTCTACCAACCCCGAGTACATTAAAAAACATTAAACCAATTCCACCTAGTTTCTTAAGCTTGCCTTTACAACAAAGTGTTGTTATTCATCCAATAATTATTTGTTATATTTGAAAACAAACAGAAACAACAAAACTCTCTAATGATAAACACTGGGCACATGATCTGGGTCTGGCAGACATGAGTTTACATCCTGACTCGTTACTGTGTGGCCTTAGGCAGCTCACCAAACCTCCTCGGAATGTCCACTTCCACACGGAGTAGAGACAGAATACTCCTCACCCTCAAGGTATGGAAGGAAGGGTGAGACAGTCCCTTTAGCACACGGCTGCCGCTGCCCTGGGCCTGCTGTGGTGCTCTCTACGTGACGGGGCCACTGATCTTAAAAGGAGAAAGGCATTACACTAGACTGCCAACTAGCAGATGCAGAGCGACAACAGAGCTAGAGCAGTCACCGGGTACAAGTGATTCAGGCGGAGTCACCTAGGCCCAGCAGAAGTGCCAGTCTCCCGCACAGGTCACAGGTCACCCGGGGAAGAGCACTCAGCTTCGCACTGGAGAAACGCGGCAGACGTCAGCAAAGCCAGCGCTGCCACCAGGAAGCCAACTGACGTCATGTGCATTTGCTGAGGTGCAGGGAAAAGAAGGGGACTCCACCGCTCATGCAACGTCACTGCCATCAACACATAGGCTGATGCTAAACAGGAGCAAACATCAGACGAACCCGAAGGTAAAGGATATGCCGCAAAACAGCAGGCCTGTAATCTTCAAAAATGTCAACGTCGTGAGCCACAGAGGAAAGACATGGAACTCTTCCAGATTAAAGGACCCAAGAGGAGCACCCATTGAAGTCAGTGTGTGGTCTCCAACTGGATCCTGGACGAGGGGAACACTGCAATGCAGGACATTACTGGGACAATGGATAAAAAGGGAACACTGACGTATATTACATACCAATGCGTTGGTGTTAATTTTCCTGAATTTTATAATTTTCACAGCTATCTAAGAGAAAGTCCAATCTTAAGAAACATATGCTGATTTAATTAGGGTAAGTATCAAAATGAGAGGGGAGATATAAAGCAAAAGCAGGAAAATATGAGCAACAGGTGACTGAGTAAAGAGTACACAAGAGGGGCGCCTGGGTGGCTCAGTCGTCAAGCATCTGCCTTCGGCTCAGGTCGTGATCCCAGGGTCCTGGGATCGAGCCCCGCATCCCGCTCCCTGCTCAGCGGGGAGCCTGCTTCTCCAACTCCCCCTGCTTGTGTTCCCTCTCTCTCGCTGTCTCTCTCTCTCTGTCAAATAAATACGTAAAATCTTTAAAAAAAAAAAAAAAACCCGAACAAAAAAAAACGACTTCATTGGGTTAAAAAAGAATACATACACAAGAGTTCCTCATCCTGTTTCGTCATTCTGATGTTTTTGAAATTATTTTACAAGAAGTCAAAAGTGTTTGGGGCTCCTGGGTGGCTCAGACGTTAAGCGTCTGCCTTCAGCTCAGGTCATGGTCCCAGGGTCCTGGGATCGAGCCCTGCATCGGGCTCCCTGCTCGGCAGGAGGCCTGCTTCTCCCACTCCCCCTGCTTGTGTTCCTGCTCTCGCTGTCTCTCTCTCTGTCAAATAAAGAAAGAAAATCTAAAAAAAAAAAAGTCAAAAATGTTTAAGAAGAGTATCTGGGGGCACCTGGGGGGGCTCAGTCGGTGAAGCGTCTGCCTTCGGCTCAGGTCATGATCTCAGGGCCCAGGGATCGCCCTGAACTGGGCTCTCTGCTCAGCAGGAAGCCTGCTTCTCCCTCTCCCTCTACCCCACTCCCTGCTGGTGCCTTCTCTCTCCCTCTCCCTCTCTCTCAAATAAATAAAATCTTAAAAAAAAAAAAAGATGATGAATATCTGATTTCTGTGCTCAAAGACATTATAATCTACTGGGAAAGACAGTATTTTCTAATAGCTGCAAAGAAGAGCTCTCCACTAGAAACATCGAGTATGGAAGCAAACGACCAGGGTCCTTGGGGAGCGAGCAGAGGACTCGCAGGGTGCAGCCACAGGGGCCCTGCAGGGCGGGTCAGAACCGGGGTTCATACCTACATCTGAAAGTGACAGGTAGCGAGCTCCTAAGGAGCTGCAAGTGCCCTTACCGGAGCATGGTAATCACGAGCAAAACAAGAAAGGAAGGAAGTAAAAGAGAAAGAAGAATCTGTGGACACAGAGTGACTGCGGAGCATCCCCAGTGTCCACACGTCAGAGGTGCTGCTCTCCAGGGCCACGTGGGACCCCCCGGCGATGCCACTGCCGCATTTACAGCCCTGCTCAAAGCAGAGGCCTGCGCTCAACTCTGCTGGGTATCCCGCCTCCCGGGACCACGGCGGGTCAGCCTTTCTTCCTACCCAATCATCCTGGGCAGCTGAGACCAAGGTCCTGTGCAGAATCTGTTTCTTAGAACTCAGGAGCTCTTCATGGGTTTGTTTTAACCAAGATCAGGAAAACTGAGGGCTTAAACGTGGCAGATAAGGCTCGTAGCTGCCGCAATAGCCTTAAAACTGGCCATCTGCAAGTCAAGATTAGACTATTCACGGACGGAGGGTGCGAAAAGACTCAAGGAAACAGACCCCCCAAAGTGGAGTCGTCTGGCCTCCAGATGAGGAGTTAGGCCACCACAATCTGACCCAAGGATCAAGAACCACAACTGCCCAGCGTCTGAATCACAGAAGGTGGACAAGGCCCTCCATTCCCCTACCCCCTGCTAGGGAGACTGCCCACGGCTCTGAGCCCAAACTCTCCTCTGGGGGTACAGTGAGCACACCCTCCCCTGGAGTCATGGGAAAGTAACATCGGGGTAACTGACCTCCTAGGCCACCTCTTACTAAAACAAGTATTGTTTTCAGTTTGACCTTCCCCATCGGCACGGGACTTGGCACTGGGCTGAGGGGAAGAGTATTTTAGGAGGCTTTATTTCCCTTTCGATTCCAGACATGTTCTGTTTTCACTAACCTTTATCTGTCCTGCCTCCTGAAGATGAAGCGGCACTCTGGAAGGAGAACCAAGCTGGGCAGGTGGACATGGAGAGCTGCCTTGCCCTGATCCCCAGGCCCTCCCAAGAAAGGAACCAGAGGAATCGCAAACACATCTCATCAGAGAGGTGTCAACTAGAACCCGAATAGTAGGTCCTGTGCTTCATTCCCTTCTCAATGCCCTACAGCATGTAGTACATAAATACTTTGTGCTAATAAACTTACTGGTGTTGATAAAATATTCTAGGCGGATACTGTTAACACAAAATCCTAAGAGTACACGATTTTTGAGTTAAGAGAAGTATCTTCCTCATTCCTGGAAATAAAAATTCTGATGTTTGTAGATTAAACATTTTATTTGCCCTTAAAAACATATATATATAACATTTACCAGGAAGATGATAGAAAATAGTAGAGCCTTAGTAAAGAAATCAGACAAAACTGTGATTACCAACATGATTATTAGGTTATATCTCAACCCCCTGAAAATGCTAACCTAATTCTCAGCAGCCAAGGCAGTAAGCAAATGGAAGCGGGGAAAATACACCTGTGTCTAGCTAGAAAGGAAAAGGAACACCAGCAGTAAGAAAACACACTCTATACAGCTGATGAGTGAGGAACGTTAAACACAGTGGTGAAATGCTGTATTTATAGTACTTGGAGGCTTTTCTTTTTTTTTTAAGATTTTATTTATTTATTCATGAGAGACAGAAAGAGAGAGAGAGAGAGAAGCAGAGGGAGAAGCAGGCTCCCAAGGAGCAGGGAGCCCGATGTGGGACTCAATCCCAGGACCCCGGGATCATGACCTGAGCCGAAGGCAGACGCTTAACCATCTGAGCCACCCAGGCGCCCAACTTGGAGGCTTTTCTGTGGTTTAGAAGCCACTCTGTTCTGTCAGTGAAACTTTATTCCTGCTTTCAGTGTTAGTAACAATGGTTTAGAACAACAACAACAAAAATAGCCACAAAACACTCGGTTTCATGTGAACTCTGCACACAGAAGTCACCCAGAGCCCATGTGGTCACTGGTGACAGGAAGGCCTCACTTTCAGGAGCAATTCTTAGAGGGTGGGACTAGAACTGGGTTTTGTTTTGTTTTTCTCTCTCAAGAACCTAGATTTGCTTACTTTCTCACTTTCAACTCAGCACCGAAATCAGATAAAACCTGTAATGGCCAACTAACAGGGTGACCTACGATGACTTACAGCAATGTTACGTGCTTCACCCAGCTTCTAAGTCCACTGGTTGGTAATACACACTTTAGTTAACCAGCAGTTTAACATGAAAATGAAGGGCTCAACCCTGGAATGTTAAAAAGTATCCCAGACCCAAGGGTTACAAGGCCCAGTGGCCGCGCAGGAGGCCCCTAAGCGGCAGAGAGCCGCGCTACTGCAAGGCGGCGGGTCGCCACCCTCCTGGCCCGCAACCAGACCGGAGCTAGGGCGCGGCCACGTGGAGAAAGTCTCCCGGCGGAGAAAGCAGCCGAACTCACGCCCCCCCGCTGCCGTGCCGGGGCGGCTCCCTCCACGCCGCCCAGCAGGCCAGGGGTCTGTGGCCGAACGAGCCAACAGGCCCGTAAGAGCGCTCTAGAAGACAAATGCCAACATGCGGACACCACCAGGGATTGTCCCAACCCCGACGAGGGCGGTACCTGTTCCTGCAGCTCGTAGTCATAGCTGTCATGCAGCAGAAGACTGAGGACGTAGCGGGTGTAAATCATGGCATCGATGCCGCATTTCTCCAGCTCCTGCCCCAGCCAGGTCTGCACTGGGCCCAGAGCATGAAGCAGAGACATTTCAGAAACAGATACGGGGCCTGGATAAGAGCTTGCGGAGCTTTCAGATGGTAAACCATCCACGACAACTGTACAGATAGGGCGCATGAATTTAGGTTGCTGACATCCTTAAAATGTGAAGCATTTTCTGCAGTTGATGTTCTGTTGGTATCTGGAGGGGATTTTCACTCCAGTAGAAAGGAGAGATGCTTGACATCTAGGATAAGCATCTATTTTTGCTGGCAGTCAGCCATCAGAACAGAATTTCCCTCTTCAGGCATGACCAGTGAATCAACATCCTGACAGTAATACACATGTACATGTGATGTTCTACTTTACTTTCATTGAGGCCAAATGGAAGTCTCCGGCAGAACCTACAAAAATGAGAGAGAAAAAAAGGTATGCATTATACATACATATAAATTACTGATCTTTTGAGAAAAAAAAAATCCAAATGAACTTTATTGAAATTTGGTGTTTTAGAACACGGATTTCTTTTTGCTGTAATGTTTGACATTTTAAAACAAGTGACATTTCAAAATTTTAAGCTTAATATCATTTAAAAGGAAAACTCAGAAATTTACATTGTGGTGCTTGTGCTCAATCAAAACAATGTTTATTTTGCTAACTCAAGAGACTGGGCTAATAAAATTTTGTTCATCCGTAATGCTGAAAGAATCTGTGTGGTAACAAATCACTAGTTCAATTTTTGAGTGTAAGAGACACAGGCAGCTAAACAGTAATTTCATTTAAACAATGGTTAAAAAGTAGTCTTTTAAATTGAAGGTTTCGTAAAGGTAATCATCTCGTATGGCTAAAAGATTTGCAAGGCTGCTCACTACTTATTTCATAAAAGTTAAGGTAAAACATGGATTTGGCTCATAGCCACACCAGGCTGGATGGTTAAACCTGCTTTATTCTACTATACCTCGGCTGACGGTTTGCCTACTTGTGTGAAGGAAGCCATGCTCTTAATACCTTTCCCTTAAGTTAACCTACTTTCAACATGTCAAACTAATCTAATGGCCTTAGTAAATCACTCATGCCACCAGAAGACGAAAACTACCACAGTGACAGGTAAATCTCATGGGCTCAGCGTCTGCATGAATTTCAGCAGACAATAAGAGGGTTACCAAAAGTGACTTTTAGGGGCACCTGGGTGGCTCAGTCGGTTAAGCATCCAACTCCTGATTTAGGCTCAGGTCATGGTCTCCCAGTCATGAGATTCAGCCCCATGTCAGGCTCCCTGCTCAGCAGGGAGTCCGCTTGAGATCTTTTCCCTCTCCCTCTAACGCCTACCCTGCTCACATACTCTCTCTCTAAAAAAATAAATAAATCTTTAAAAAAAAAGTGATTTTAGGGATGCCTGGGTGGCTCAGTCGGTTAAGCATCTGTCTTCAGCTCAGCTCATGATCCCAAGGTCCTGGGATCAAGTCCCGCATCGGGCTCCCTGCTCAGTGGGGAGCCTGCTTCTCCCTCTGCCTGCCGCTCCCCCTGCTTGTGCATGCGTGCTCTCTCTAATAAATAAATAATCTTTTTTAAAAAGTGACTTTTAAAGGAGAATTATTAGTAAAACATGAAGTCTGAAAGACTTCACCAAAGATTTAAGACTCCATTTCTTGCATTTCATGAATAACTACATAGTAAGTTTTACATACATTAAATATAAAGAAAAACTGTTTAAATCTACCATAGGACTAAGTTATTAGATTAAGTTGTCATTAATGTATATCCTATTTTTTAAAATTTTCCCGATCATACTGTCTTTTCTGAATTATGGAAAACAGGGGTGCCTGGGTGGCTCAGTCGGTTAAGTGTCTGCCTTCAGCTCGGGGCATGATCCTGGGGTCCTGGAATCGAGCCCCACGTCAGGCTCTCTGCTCAGCCAGGAGCCTGTTTCTCCCTCTCCCTTCCCTGCCGCTCCCCCTTTTGTGCTCTGTCAAATAAATAAGTAAAAACTTAAAAAAAAACCTGAATTATGGAAAACAGACAAATTAAAGCAAACGTTTTTCTATAATTTTCACCTGCTGAAATTTTCCAGCTAACTCTCAAAATTAAAACATTTTTCATTAGTTCTTTAATATTTTTGGATCTTAGGATGGCAGACAGATGAATTAAACAATACACTGAATTCTGGGGACATCCCCTAAAGCAAGGTAACAAGCTGGTACTCATTCAATGAAGATCAACCAAGACTGAGAGCAGATGAAGCAACAGCTGAAAGAGCTGGATGAAAGATCTAAGGCAGCCTGAGCTCACAGCAAACAGCACCAGAGATTGGCAGAGGGCAACCCTCCAGAATTCAGCAGAGTATTAATCAGGGCATGCATATGAGGAACTCCCTGAGCGCAGGAAAGGATCATCATGAAGACTAGGCGGAAATAGGACCTGATGCTCAGCATGGCCAGGAAGGACTTGATGCTCACCAGCCAGACTTGAAAACCTCCTAATTCAGGGACACTGGGTACTCAGAAGGCTCCTAACTTAGGAAGAGGAAGCAACTAGCCCTAGACAGAAATGCGTGTGCTTAACACATCCTAAAAGGAAGACCTGGAAAGACCAAACCATTTCTAATTTCATTACGGTCCCAAAACAAACCTCAAGAAATTTGTAGGAACACAAAAAATACCTAGCACCTAACAAAGTAACATTTAGGGGCGCCTGGGTGGCTCAGTCGGTTGAGCATCTGCCTCTTGGTTTTGGCTCAGGTCCTGATCTCAAGGTCATGGGATTGAGCCATACAACAGGCTCCAAGCTTGGCATGGAGTCTACTGGAGAGTTTTTTCCCCCTCCTTCTCCTTCCCCCTCTACTCCTCTCCCTGCTTGTGCTCTCTCAAATAAATAATATCTTTAAAAAAGAAAAAAAAGTAGAATTTACAATGGTTGGCACCTAATAAAAAATTAGCAGACATGCAAAGAAGCAGGCACAAAGGAAGTAGAAATTAAGAGAAAAATAAATTCACTGAAACCAACTCAGAATTGATACAAAAGTGAGATTTAGCAGAAAGGACTCTGAAGCAGTTATTATGACAAAAGGCCATATATGTTATGAGTAGGGAACGGAAAATATAAAGATTGAAAGTCAAACATAAAGATTGAAAGTCAAACATCTACAGATGAAAATTACAACGTCAGAGATGAAAAGCAGGCAGCATGGGGAAACAGCAGATCAGCCACTTCAGAAGGAAAGATCCAGAGTCTTTTTTTTTTTTTTTTTAAGATTTTATTTATTTATTTGACAGAGAGAGAGAGAGACAGTGAGAGCAGGAACACAAGCAGGGGGAGTGGGAGAGGGAGAAGCAGGCTTTCCGGCAAGCCAGGAGCCCAACGTGGGGCTCGATCCCAGGATCCTGGGATCATGATCTGAGCCGAAGGCAGACGCTTAACGACTAAGCCACCCAGGGGCTCCCAAGAGTCCAGAGTCTTAAACTGCAAAAGAAACCATACAAAAATGAAACAGAGAGAGAAAGGAATAAATTAAGAAATCTAACATATGTTTAGTTGGAGGAGAAAAAGAAGGGGGTCAAAGAAATATTTGAAGAAATAATGACCAACATTTTCCCAAAATTGATGACCGCTGAACACACAGATCCAAGAAGTTCGCTGAACTCTAAACACAAGAAACATGAAGACACTGACACCTAGGCTTCCTGCAGCAAAACCATCCAAACAGTAAAGAGAAGAAGCTCAAAGCTGCCGGGGAGAAGAGACATTAGGTAGAACAGAGCAAAGGATGAATAAGGACACCAAGTTTCTTGTCAGAAACGTGGAAAGGAGAAGATAATCGGGCAAAAAATGTTTAAGGACTGGAAGAAAAACCCATCAACTTAGAATTTTATACTCATCACAAAATCTTCCACAACAAAGGTGAAACAAAGACTCAGATTTGCAAAAGCTGGAAGATTGCAGCAGCAGCAGCAGAAAGCCATCAGAAATGTTACAGGAAGTCCTTTGGGCAGAAGGACAATGACACCAGAACAAAATGTGCATCCACTCAAAGGAACAAAGAGCACCGGAAACAGTATAACCACATTTTTATTATTTCAGTATCTTTCAAAGATAATTCCACTATTGAAACAAAAATAGTAACAATTTATTGTGAGGTTTGCAACATACAGAAGCAAAATGGAGGGCAACAGATCATGAAGGCCGAAGGGGAAAATCAAATACTACTACCTGCTCCTTCCATATTCCCTGCAATGGTAGGATGGCACTTGGAGACAGACTGATATGATAGCTGTTAATAATCACAATAAATGGAAACGGTTGAACCAACCAATTAAAAAGCAGATGGTCAGACTGGATTTTTAAAACAGCAAGACCCAGATATATTATGCTGCTTATAAAAATATCCACATTAAATATAAAGGCACAGACAGGTTCAAAGTAAAAGGATGGGAAAAGATACACAATGCCAACACTGACAAAAAGCAAGGTGGAGGGGGCCCAGGTGGCTCAGTCAGATGGGCAGCTAACTCTTGATTTTGGCTCAGGTTGTGATCTTGGGAACCTGGGATTGGCCTCCGTGTTGGGCTCTGTGCTTGGCAGGGAGTCTGCTTGAGGATTCTCTCTCCCTCTCCCTCTGCCCCTCTTCTTGCTCACCCTCTCTCACTCACACTCAGTCTCTCTCTAAAATAAATAAATCTTTAAAAAAAAGAAAAAAGGACAAGGTGGAATGTCTACATTAGTATCTGACAGATTTCAGAGCAGAGGGTTAATAGAGGTGAAAGTCATTTCGAAATGATAAAGGGGTCAATTACCAAGAGGATGTAACAGTCCTGTTTATTATATACCTGGTAGCAGAGTTTCCAAATGCATGAAAACTGACAGAATTTCAAGGAGAAATAAACAAATCCATGATCGTACTAGATTTCAAAATCCCTCTCTCAATCACTGAAAGAAGTAAACGGAAAATCAATAAGGATTTAGGAAACTAGAGCAACATTATTATCAATCAGACAGAAGACTGTATTCTGGGCTCTAAAGAAAGTTGCAACTAAAAGGATTCAAATCCTACAAAATATATTCTCTGAGGACATGGAACTAAATTATAAACTAATCAGGGGCACCTGGGTGGCTCAGTCTGTTGAGTGTCCAATTGATTTTGGTTCAGGTCATGATCTCAGGGGTTGTGAGATCAAGCCCCGGGTCAGGCTCCATGATAGGCACGGAACCTGCTTGAGATTTTCCCTCTTCCTAGCATCTCCCCAGCTCTCTCTCTCTCTCTCTAAAAGAAAAAAAAGAAAAAAAAAAAAAGGTTTCAACGCAACCATAGGATTCTCTGTTGTCATTAAGAGAGTTCACACTTCTTTAGCCAAGTGCAAGGATTCAAGAAGTGGGTGAAAAAAAAATCAGCATACAAATGCAAAATGAA